AAAGTCACAAGGAGGGGAGGTCAGCTAGAAGAAAATCCATCCTCACCCTAGTACCCTGGTCAGGGTCAGGAATCAGGGGCCCCAGGGCCCACTCCGAAAGCAGGACTTAAGGGAAAAACTGAGAACAGGAAGTCTGATTAAACAGTTGGATACCAAGACACCCCCAATTCATCCTTTTTACTCTCTGTACAGCCATCCTTGATTCCTTTCTCTCAACCTCCATCATCAAATCTGGTTGGCTCTACCTTCAGATACAGCCAGAAAGATCTGCACCCCTCACCGTCAAGATCCCATCTCCCACTACTCGCTCCCTCCATTCCCACACCTCGTTGCCTTTACTAGACACACTGGGGGCACACCTACCTCTAGGCCGGGGCCAGGCTGTCCTCACTTCCGGGAGCACCCTCCAGATATCCCCACAGCCACCCTCTCCCTGCTTTCATACCTCCTGCTCAGATGCCGCCTTCTCCGACCATTCCCCATCTCCCTTGGCCTGCCTTTTCTCCAAAGCACTTTTCCTCACCTAACATATTATGTATTTGCTTACTCCTTGTTTCCCCCACTGAAGTATCAGCTCTTCTAGGGCAAGGATTTGTCTATTCCATTCATTGCAGTATCCCCAGAACCTAGAACAGTGTCCAGAACATGGTGGGGAATCAGTATTTGTTGAACTAATGAAAGGAGAAACCAAACTGAAGACCTCAGCAGAGAGCAGGAAGACAGAATGGTTCTTACCATTAAGTAGATTACAAACAAAACAAAACAAAACAACCTTGGATAAGTGGTCTCATTTCCCCCAGAAAGAGGAACAGGAACACGCACGGGATCTTTACATGTCAAAATCTTCAGCAGATCCAACCCAGATGGAGAGCCCATCTCTTCCCCAACGCCATGAAGCAGATGATGTCACCTGCACTCACCAGCACCTGCTCAGGGGCTGGTACACCACAGGTGTTCAATAAATGTTTATTGAGGAACTGGAGAAGGCAGACAGCAACAGAAAAGAGGGAAGTAAAGAAAGGATCAGTGTGGCACTAATACAGAAAGTGTGGGTGGTCTAAGGCCAGGGAGCGAGGCTGAGTCCACGCTGTGGAACACTTGGATATCAAAACTTTTAACCTGAAATCTGGGTGGTGGTGGGGGGAGGAACCCCGAAGTAAATTTGCTCAGGCAAGTGACTCACTCAGAACCCAGAATGAAGAGCCAGCCATGGGAAGAGCTGGGGGACAGAGGTACCAGGCAAAGGAACAACTAAGACACCAGTGTAGCTCAACAGTGACGGGGTAGTTAGAAGTCAGGCTGGAGCCAGATCACGCAGGGGCTTTCAATTCTCATCCCCAAACTGAGAGAGAGATCTTTGACCCAGGAAAAGATGAAGATCCATGTTTTGGGTGGCAGAATGGAAAATGCCTTTCCTTCCCAAAGAACCTGTGATTCCTAGATATCCTCACGGGCAAGGAGAGGTCTTATTCATCTGGCACAGCCTCATTATAACTAAAAAGCTCAAAATTATTTGCTAAATGAAGTAAATCAGAAACCCAGAGAAAGAAAATTAAAAACAAGAGACCTACTAACAAAGTAGTGAGGGCAGATGACTTTTGTTCATGGCACAATTATTAATCAATAAAAAGAGTACCCAGGAGAGACATCAGTGAGTATTATGGCTTTATGACCCAGGAAAGGAGTGGTTCTATTAGGAGAATGAGGTACTGGGGGAAAGGCTTGATATTTTAGATTGAGCTGTTCTTCTAATCGGATGTATGACCTTGGGTAGGTCATCCCCTTCTCTGGTCTTCAGATTCCCTGAATTAAACTGAGGGAATCAGACTGACTATTCACCAAAGAATTTGAGGGAGCTCCAACTCTGTAGTTTTACATTCTCATGTGTCCATCATAATTGCCAGGCACAGAGAAGATGCCGGTGAGTATCTGCTGAATGAATGAAAACCAACTTCTCATTTTACAAGAGTGGAAACTGGGGCCTGGAAGGGTTAGGTGACAGCTCAGGGACAAAAAGCTAGTTAGTGCCAGTGTGTGGGGAGGCCCTGGGACTCCAGCCAAGAGACTCCTGGGTTCCTCAGTAGAGGTGAGAACAGATGAAGCAGAGGAGACAGGCAGAGGAGATGGGCACTTTGTTGGAAAGGTCGGGGGAGGGGGGGTTCCCAGCAGAGAGCTCCCTGGAATCCAGGGGGCACCAGACTGAAAGGTGCAGTTTCTGTGATCAGACTGATGAAGCTTGGACCCCAGCTCCAGGATACACTCACTGGGTCAAGTACTTGCCTTAGGCCAAGTCACCTCTGTGTTTTGGCGTCCACTCTTTGGCAAAATGTGGGTAACAGCCTCACGTATAATTCTAAAAATCGCTGCGAGATCAATGAAAAAAGCCGTATAAAGACTCTTGAACAGTGTCTGGTACGGTAGTAGGGGCTCAGTAAATGTCCACGTGGGTGGCACTTTTACCACTCCAGCACAGCCCCTAACCCGAGTGGCAACTTTTCAGGAGGGACAGTTAAAAGGCGCGTACAAATGGAAACGGGTGGTGGGTGGTAAGAGCGATAGTAAAAACAATAAATTCCCAATTACGAGCCAAAGGAAGCGTGCTCAGCACTTCCCGTGCCCCCTTGGCCTAGTTTATGAAATCTCCCACGTGCTGGTCCTTCTGAGGTCCGGGTTCGAGTCTCACAGTGACCTTGGACCAGCCTCGTTCCTCCCAGTCTCGGTTTTCTCATCCGCAAAACGGAGGTGGCCACCCCACCGCTCAGCCCTCCCAAGGATCCCGAAGAGGGTACCCCGGGCCGCGCCTCGAGTCTCCCGCGCCTGCAGTGGGGTCGCGGGGCGCCGGGGCCTGCGTGGCCGCGGGGGTGGCAAAATCGCTTGGCCCCTGCAGGCCCTCGTAGGCCGGTCTCCATGGCAGCCCGCCCTGCCTACCTTCCTGCCGGCAGTAGGCCATGGCTGCAGCCCCGGCGCTCAGACCTCGCAGCGATAGCGGTGGCGGCGGCACAGGCAGCGGCGGGCTCACGCTGTGACCTCTCCTCCGGCAGGGCGGGCGGCTCCGAGGCCCACGCGGACCCGCCCCCTCCAGGCCTGCCCGCCGCGCGCCTGTTTCTGCGCCCTCCCAACCCTACCCCGGCCCCAGTCAGCCGGGAACTACATTTCCCAGGAAGCCGCGCGCTGGTCGGTGACTCTTCAAGGCGGTGGAACTACATATCCCGGAATGACTTGCAGTGCGCAGGCGCATCAATGAGGTACGGTGCGTGTTGCAACTTAGGGGCTAAAGCGCCTGACCCCGGACTACATTTTCCAGGAGGCCCTGCGGCGCGCATGAGCAGAAAAGCTGTGGCTCACGGGGCGGCAACTTTTGCGCGTCCTCCCTGATTCTAGGATTCACGCGGATTTTCGCAGCTTCTCGTCGGGCGAGAGACCGCTGGGCTCTGCCCTCAGACCGTCAACCCCTTCCGTAGCTGAGCAGAGCGACGGTGAGCGCCCAGCCGGGTCCCACCATGGCCGCGAACGTGAGTGTCTCCTGGTCGGCCGGACCCCACCCGTGCTTCCCCATCTCCCCGAAGGGGCCGCCTGGGTCCATCTTGCCTGCCTGCCCCTCGTCTGTGCGGCCAGCCCCATCTCCCTCTGCATGCCCTTGTTCCGGCTTTCCGGCAGCTAGCCCGTCCGTTCACCTCTCTTGGTCTGTCCGGACCTCCTCGTCGGGCCGCACGTTTGCGGGGAGGGAAACTCAGGAGCTGTTGTTCCCGGCATTGGGATCTCCTTGTGCTAGGCGCCTTCTCGCAGCCCCTCCTTTCATTCTTAGTTCCCACCTGGGCCCTTGGGCTTCTCATTTGCGGGCTGTGAGAGCTGGACGCGACCTCCGGGGGAGCCAGTCCGCGGGAAGGGTGGGGAAGCCGATACTGCTCAGGTGGAGCTGTCCATCAAGTGACAGACTGGACCGTGCGGGCGGGCAGGGAGCTCCACGCCCTAGGGAAGCATGTAAACCGAGGCTGTGATGCTACAAAGGGGTGCGGGCGAGGTTGGGAGCGGAGGAGTTAGGATGATTGTGAGAGGGAGAGTTTCCCCACTACCTGGCCCCTTGTCCTCCTAGGTGTGTTTGGTTAGAGAGGCCATGGCTGAAGGTGGTTCCCTTCAAAAGCCTTCTGGCTGTTTCTCCGTGCAGCCAGCCTGTCTCGGGAACCTTTCCATTTAAGATTTAAGCCCAACATTCATTCAACAAACCGAACAGCACCTCCCACCAGGGTGCTGGGTGTGGGAGAGTCTGGTGACTCACCACTCCCCTCCTCTGTGAAAGTGCTTCTGGAGCCAGCCCTGGTGCCCTGCCAGCCCCAGGACACTCCCTCCCTCCTGCTTTGCTGGAGTGTCCTAGCCACTCTCCCCTGGACTGTTACACCCTCCTTCCAGCCCCTCCTCTGTCCCCAAGAGCCCTCTCTGCCCCCCACACCCTTGGAGAGGAGGATTTGTATCACTGACAGCCCTAGTGTGCTCCGCCTCAATTGGAGTTGTCTGGGAGACCTAGAAACTGTGAATGCTGCACCTAGAAAAGCCTCAGAGATGGTCCGAGACCCAGGGTCTGCCAGGGGAGAGGACAGTCAGGAGACCAGCGTGCCCCCAGAGGTAGACTCCTGTCTGCCCCCATACCATGTTTTACAGATGGAGAATTTCCCCAGTAGGTGAAGGCACTTGCCCAACTTGGCCAGCTACTTCATGGGAAGATGCTGAAGATAGCAGGCTTTGGAGTCAGGCAGACCTGGGGGCAAATCCAGTTTCTTCCTCTTAGAAGCTGTGTGGCCCAACACTCTGGGTTTGTGTTTCTTCGTGGGATCTGTTAGTGTGAAGTTTAAGGGAGTCAGCCTGTGCTTAGCACAGTGCCTGGTGCATAGAGGGTGCTTAATACATGAAAAAAAATCTATGTTCACAGTCTGACACAGATGGCCCTGGTGGGGAGAGACTGTCTTGGGTATATTGGCACCTGACCTTTGCCAAGGAATGTGTATGAATGTGGGTATTTTCTGCAGCCAAACCTTTGTTGAGTCATCCAGGAGCTGGGTGCATGTTTACAGGAGCCACCAGGCTCGGTGAGGAAGAAAGATCTGAAGATGGTGGGGTGGAGCAGGGAGGTGACAAAATTTCTTAATGGGTATAACAGCAAAACTGCCCTGTGACAGAGGTACTGTGAACCATCTCCATATTATATGTGAGTAAACTGGATCAGAGAGGTAGAGCAACTAACGCAGGGTTACACAGCAAGTAATATTCAGGGCCTGTGTATCAACCTCTATACCATCACTCGTTGCTCTTTGCTCCTTGGCCTAGAGTGCTTACTGAGGACACCTGTATGTATCCAACACATATCAAGGAGCCAACATCAAGATAAGGGGCTCAAAGATGGCCTTGAAGGGGAAGAAGAGAGGCACTGGAGGGTCTCCCTCAGGCTAGGGAAATAGTCCAGTAGTGAGATATGGGTGGAGGAAATCACCATCATCCTCCATTCCAAGACCCTCTGTGGTTACTAGGATTTTGTTTTGGAATGTGGGCCGAGTGTGTCCTGTCACTACCCAGCCTACCCCTCCCGTAGACTGAGATACACCCTCCCGTGCCTTTCTTTCTTCCCTCCAAGGCCTTCCATGAGCTCCTCTCTTTGACGTTGGCTCCTAGATGTATGCTGAGGGGAGGCCCAGAAGGAAGTTATGCCTTCTGGCTACCAAGTTTGGGGCTGCGCTGCTAATAGCAGAACGGGCTCCTTTTCCTGCCAGTCTCTGCAGCTGGCTCCCAGTGTTCAGCTCTCCTTAGAGCCCAAGAAGTGAGGAATGAGGCTTGGAGCAAAGTGGTAGGAGAGTGGCCTCTGTTCTGTCCAGATATGAAACTTAATTCTCCCTCTTAGAGGCTGAGTGATCTGGGCTGATGACTTAACTGATGAGCCTCGGTTTTCTCATCTGTGAAATGGGATAGTGATAGTTTGCCTGTGATAGACTGGAATGTTGCCGCTGTCATCATTTTGATGGTTGGTGGTCACCTACCTGCCGGCAGTGAACTGCTCTACTAATGTTTCCCAATGGTATGGAAAGTTAAGACCATTTCTGAATCTAGTGGACATCTGGACTCTGGCAGTCCTGGGCTGGGGACATTGTGGGACAGTCAGAGAATATATGGCATCAGCCTTATTCAGGCAGAGACTAACCTGAATCTCTCCTCTGGCCCCCTGTGCCAGGGGCTTGGCTCACTCTGAGTGCGCATCTCAGAGCTGCTTTACACCTTTGTGACTTTTGTCAGCTTACCCCCAGCCATGGCACCAGTCTTGGTGTCAGTTGCAAAGAAAGCTGTTAACATTCCCACCCTTAGCGCCTGTACATCACGTCCTATGTCCTAGGCACTGAACTGTCTGATAATTAAGTCCTTTGGTTCTCACCAGAACCCTGTGTACTGGATTTTTATCCCCATTTTACTGATGAGGAAATGGAGGGCATAAAGGGGTTAATTGCTCGCCCAAGGTCCCATAGCTTGAATTGAAACCCACTCCTTCTGGCTCTGGAATTCTGCCCTTAACGATGATACTCAGTCAGCAGTGGACACGCTTCAAACCATGCTGCTGTTATTGGTTGGATAAAACTTGACCCACTGACGCTGGAGCTTGAGGCCTCTCATGACCCTGCCTGGATGTGTCTAGCTGCCCTCATTTCCTTCCACCCAGGCCTCCCCAAACCCAGCCAGAGCAGATAGGCAGCTCTGCTCCTGGAAGCACTTCCCTCACCATTGCTCAGACAGTTCCCCCTGCTAAGGATGCCCTTACTCCAGAGTCTGCCTCTGAGATCCCAATCAAATGCCACCTCCTCTGGGGAGCCTGCTGTGATCCCCCAGCCGGAAGGGGTCCCTTGTTTGGCACAGGATCTGCTCCTCACCAAGCACTCAGCATGGCTTAGTACTGTTTGTGCCTGCAACTTGATGGCCCTGCAGCCTGTTGTCTCCTTGCCTCACCCCTACAAGACCCTGCATGGCCCTTGGGAAGCCGAGCCACCGTTTGGTGAATTGAATTAATAATATATGTCTAATAACCTCTTTGTAAAACAGTTTGGCAGTTTCTTAAAAACCCACATCGTCCCTGTGACCCAGCAATTTCACTCCTACGTTAGTATTCATTACCCAGTAGCCAAGGGAAATGAAAGCACAGGTCTCCATAAGGACTTGTACAGGAATGTTCATAGAAGCATTGTTTGTAAAAGCTAAAAACTGGAAACAACCAAAATACGCACGCACTGGTGACTGAGTCAACAAACGTGGTATACTCCTAGATGGAGTACTATTCGGCCATGTAAGGGAATGAGCGAGCTACCCCTATACACCAGTGTAGAGGACCCTCCTCAGAATCTGGACAGAAAAGAGCTAGTGCTGTATGATGGCCCCATTTATATTGGGTTCTATAAGAGGCAAAACTAATCTATAATGATACAAATTCAAATAGTTGTTACCACTAGGGGCTGGGGAGCAGGGAATATTGGCAGGAAAGAGGCACAAGGTAACCTTCTGTGATAATAGAAACATTCTGTATCTTGATCTGGATGTCAGTCAAATGGGGTAAGCATTTGGCAAAGCCTATCACACAGTATGCTTAATATCTGTGCATTTTACCGTATATAATTGAAACTCAATGAGAACAGTATACACAAATAGCAAAATTCAGTTTACTTTTTAAAAAACTAAGTTTCATTTTGATTTTTTTTTAAATATTTTTTTTCCTCAGTATTCCAGTACGACTAACAGGAGAGAACATGTCAAAACGACGACCAACCCCCAGCCAGGCTTCTTGGAGCGGCTCAGCGAGACCTCGGGTGGGATGTTTGTGGGGCTCATGACCTTCCTGCTCTCCTTCTACTTAATTTTCGCTAATGAGGTAAAATGTCTGGCATCCTTTTGTGCAGAGTGTGGATCCCTGCAGTATTAGAAAGCAAAGGCTATGAATCCAGAGGCTAGATTTGGTAACAGGACCTAGATTTTACAACAGGTGGGGTGGAGGGGGGAGGGAGGGTAATGGTGCTGAATTAATCAGAATTCTTTCTCTTGTGACCCATCTCATAACTGACCTAAGTAGGAAGATGAATGAAGTGGTTCACATGCCTGAAATCCTGGGGTAGCAACAGCTTCAGGCATGGCTGGACCCAGGTGTTCATGTTGGGTCACTGGGAATCTCCATTTTTCCATCTGTTGCCTCTTTTTCTCTCTTACGGATTTTTCTTTGACAGGCTTTTCCTTTTGTGGTGGTAAAGGTGGCCCAGCAACTCCAGGGTCACATCCAACAGCTTAGCAGCCTGATCTCTTCCAAAATCAATTTAGCAACAGTTGCAGAGAGGTATCTCAGTGTCCTGGCTTGTCTCAGTCCTCTCTCTGAACAAATCCCTGTGGCAGTGGGCCCATGTTCTGATTGGCTAGGCCTGGGTCACATGTTTTGGGCAGCAGTACAGAGGGCCCATATAAACTACAAGGACTGAGCGGGGGAGGGGAGAAGGCAGAGAAAGGTGGGGGAAGGGGCACACAACAGACAAGCACCAGCTGTTCCCAGCGTGGAGTAGTGCTGAGAATTAGGAGGGTGGGGTGTGCAGCAGGAAGAGGGCTGCCTGGGAAAGCAGGAGTCCTTGGCTCCAGTTCTAACTGTGCCACTTGCTGGTCCTCGGTTTTCCAACTGTAAAATGGGGATATGAGTCTCCATGCTTCCCGTAATGCACTGCAGTAAGCACAACTGTGTTGAACCACGCCTTAGTTGAAATCCTCACTCCCTTTTGCTCACAGGGCCACGCACTGAAGACAGCAACCTCCCTGGCCGAGGGGCTCTCGCTTGTAGTGTCCCCCGACAGCATCCACAGCGTGGCCCCGGAGAACGAGGGGCGGCTGGTGCACATCATTGGGGCCCTGCGGACATCCAAGGTAGGTTTGGGGATGCTCAGGGCACATTGCTCAGGGCACCAGATGCTCAGGGCAAATTGCTGGATGTTGTCCGGTTGAGGATTTTGAGCACATGGGCTCTGGAGATGGACACACGGGTGTGACTCCCACCTGCACCACTCAACAGCTATGTGGACCAGTCACTCCCAAGTCTCAGCATTTTCATCTGTAAAATGCAGAGAGTACTTGTAACAACCTGGGGGCGGGGGGGAAGCTTTTAAGAGTTAGTGGGATTAGATAGCTAACCTTTTGGCATGGTGCTTGGCACACGGCCAGAACCTTACAAGGAGGTGCTTTAACAATTATGCTTTGCATGTGTGGCTAGTGCAGGGCTGAAAGGTACTCTGGTTATCAGACCTCTCCTGTTTGGACCCTAAATACACTGTTGTTGGCACCATGCCATTGGGCTGTGCCACCCGAGCTGGGACCGTGAGACTCCTGGTCCCCAGGCAGTGGGTGTGAAGGACTTAGGCCAGGCAGCTTCACCTGACTCTCCCACCTGAAGCAGCCGTGGTGGTTTCCATCCTGCCCCTGGCCTCTGTACATGTCTCTTGTCCAGTCCCACTTCCTCTGGCATCCTGGGCTCGTGTGAGTCTTGGCCTGTATTCTGTTTTTTTGACTTGTGTGATTCTTTTCGAAGCTCTTGTCTGATCCAAACTATGGGGTCCACCTCCCGGCCGTGAAGCTGCGGCGGCACGTGGAGATGTACCAGTGGGTGGAAACCGAGGAGTCCAGGTGAGGTGCTGGGGTGTGAAGCCTCGGGCAGGGAAAACGGAGATACAGATGTTAGGATACAATGCAGGTGGCTTTCGATTTTGACACTTCTGAAATTTAAAGTATTAAATCTTCCTGTCCGAGAAGTGTCAGATTATCCTGAAATTCCTCATCAGTGATCTTTTGTTTGGAGGTGGCAGCAATCTAATGAGAGTGGTTCCAAGGAGGAGGGAGGATAAATTAGCCCTCTGGTGGAGGACATCATCCGGGGATGCCCAGGATCGACAGATGCCCAGATCCAGGCCGCAAACAGGGCTTTCCTATGTGTGGGCTCTGTGTTCTTGCGCAGGCCAGAGCAGAGGTGGCCCTGGCTTACGTCCTGTCCATTCTAGCACAAGTCTGAGGACAGGTGTCCTTAGGCGGGCAGGGGTCACTTGGAGCTGAGCGGCATGGACTGTGAGAGGTGGGCAGCTGGCAGGGGCCCTCCGTGGGTCTGTCCTGGTGCAGACGGTACAGCCAGGTCCCTGAGCCCAGGGGTCAGGGGTGCAGCCCTTGGTGTGGGCCAGTGGAGGCACATTTCAGCTCAGAATAAAAAAGCTCTTTTCTCCAGTGTGGGCCTTTGAGGGATGGAGCTGGCTGTGTGGCGGGGAGTAAGCACCCTGTCTCCCGGCTGCTGCAGACAAGGCGGCTCCATTTGGGGGCTTTGACCTGGTCGCCCCCAGTTGCTTCCAGCTGCAGATGCTTAGAGATGCGAATGCCTCCGGAGTGAGCGGCTAACTCTGGGGCTGCCTGTGCTTTCCCCACAGGGAGTACACTGAAGATGGGCAGGTGAAGACAGAGACAAGGTACTCCTACAGTGAGTACCGGGCCCCCCGCCCCCGCACACACGTGGTCTCTGCCCCCAGGGGAGGCTGACGGCATTGGGGAAGGTGTGGAACAAGGCGTCGGGAACCCTGGGCGCCAGGCCTCAGAGTCCTGCTCTTCATCCCTCCAGCGAGGCTCCAGGAGCCGCCCCTTTGGCCCTGGAGTGGCCACGGGCTTGGATGACAGGACACAGAGCCAGTGGGCGTCAGACACACGGCCACTCTTAACCATGGTCTCTGAGTTGTTCCCTCTCCCTGTGACAGACACCGAATGGAGGTCGGAAATTGTCAACAGCAGAAACTTTGACCGAGAGATTGGCCACAAGAACCCCAGGTGAGAGCTGGGTGCCCAGGCCTGAGCATAGTCTTGGCTGCCACTGGAAGGCCCCCAGCCTCAGCTTCCTCATCCGTGTGACGGGATTGAGTTCCTTTTGTCTCCTGAGCTGATGGAAGTCTGGGATGTGGCTCTGAGGCCAGCTCCTGCATGGGGCACCAGGAACATGGAAGCAAGAGCCAACTCCCTGAGCCCACACAGGCTCCCCTCAAACAAGTCATGAATGTAAGGCCTGGACTGAGTGCCTGAAGGGACTTGCACATCCAGCGCTAGGGAGGCATTTTGTTAACAGCCGTGGGGGTGGGAAGACAATCAAGAAGGGCTTTCAGGAGGCAGTGGAATTTGATGTGGGCCTTTGTAGGCTTTTGGCAGAGGGCGGTTAGCTCAGAGACACGGAGGTGGTGAGACGGGCTTAGCGTGGAGCGTGGCTGGAGCTGTGGGCAGGGCGGCTGTGCCCGGGGCGGGGGGAGGGGCTGGGGCAGGGGGGCTACAGAGCTCCCTGGGGCTGGGAAGGGTCAGGGAGGGTGTGAAGTCCACAGAAGGTCCATCTGATAACGGGTGGCTGGGGAGGGACGGGCCGGTAGGGGTCTAGGCAAGGAGGTACGAAGCTCTGGGGGATAGGAGATGGGAGGAGGGTGCTCCACTCAGGTTGAGGGGGACAGGAACGTCCTGGGGGGTAGGCCTGGTGAAGACAAGATGTCCACAGTGCCTGGGCTGGTCTGGATTTGCAGGAGCCCCCTGGGTGGGAACCCTGCCAGGCATAACCCAGAGAGACCCTGGCCGGCGCCCTGCTCTGCCAATAGCTCCTTCTCTCCCACAGCGCGATGGCAGTGGAGTCGTTCACAGCAACGGCCCCCTTCGTCCAGATTGGCAGATTCTTCCTCTCGGCAGGTAAGTCTCTGGCCCTTCAGATGATCCAGCAGTACCCAGAGGCCCTGTGCTTCCACTTGGCCACCTCCCAGGAGCTCGGGGTGTGGGATGAGCCTGCACTTTCCCAGCATCGAACTTTGGGCTGGGGGCCAGAGGGAAGGCAGGTCCCCAGGAGGTGGGGGCCTTGTGTAGAACAGCCCCACCCCAGCCAGGCTCCTCTGAAACACGGGCTCTTCCTGAGGAGAACTGCCAGGCCCTGCTGCCCGATCTGACCAGACGGAGCAGAGAGCCCTCCTTAAGCAGCCCCAGAGCCAGTGGTAGAGACAAGGCTGCCCCCCAAGGGCTCCGCCTCTGAGCCCCACCTGGCATCTAGCAGTTCATTGCAAGCGACCCCCCCCCCCC